TTTTTTTTTTTTTTTTTTTTAGAGAGAGAGTGAAAAGGAGGGGTGGGGGAGAAACACTGATGTGAGAGAGACACATTGAATGGTTTGCCTCCCTCATGCGCCCTGACCGGGGCTGGAGATCAAACCTGAAACCAAGGTACATGCCCTTGACCAGGAATCAAACCTGAGACCTTTTGGTGCCCAGGCCCACGCTCCAACCACTGAGCAACACTGGCCAGGGCTGGCCCCGTGTTTCCATCTGTGTCATCTGCAATCCGGCAGAGACCCCCCCATGTGACCGAGCACCCACCGGTGGCTTCGTGGTGTCCAGGCCCTGTCCGCTGAGGGGCACAGGTGATTAATATAGAGATCACCTTAACAGACAACTGCACTTGTGGTCTAGACCTGGAGGAGGCCCAGGCGGCAGGATGGAAATTTTATGAAACGAGCAAAAACGGCTGCTCTGGGTGGCCGCCTGGAGCTGGGCGAATGCGGAGGTGGCTCTTGCAAAAGGCAGGGGCCCCGGGCTGCCCGAGCAGGTGACCGGCCACAGATAGGGGCTCAGAGGAGGTGGCAAGATACGGGAAGTTGCTTCTTACACTCATGTGGGCCTCAGAGTCAGTCCGGCCTGTTTCTCACCCATGGAGGGGGACTGGTATCTCCCCACCATCTCTCATCACTCTGTTTCAACAGCTTCATTGAGGTGTAATTTACATACCATACAGTTCCCGCGTTCAAAGTGTACAACCGGGTGGTTTTGAATTTTGTCACCAAGGTGCAACCATCGCCGTAATGCAATCCCACAGCTTTTGCATCACCCGTAAAACCGGTCCTCCACTCGATAGTTGTTACCCCCCCAATTTCCCCCTCCTCAGACCGCATTTATCAATATTTTGGTTTTTTTTGTTTTGTTCATTCTCACTCAAGGATATTTTTTTCCATTGATTTTTAGAGAGAGTGTGAGCGAGGAGGGAGGGAGAGAGACAGAGGAACATGAATGTGAGAGGTTGGTTGCCTCCCGCACACGCCCCGACCAGGGCCAGGATCGAACCTGCAACCCAAGTCCATGCCCTTGACAGGGAAATGAAACCCGAGACCCTTCGGTGCTTGGGCNAAGTCCATGCCCTTGACAGGGAAACGAAACCTGAGACCCTTCGGTGCTTGGGTCGACACTCTAACCACTGAGCCACACTGGCCGAGGCTGTCATCTCCCTCTCAAGCGCAGCTGGGCACCCAGTACACCTGCACGCCTCTCACCCTCGACGTTTCCTATCTCGACAGATGCGAGGCTCCTAGGGACTGCCGTCTGGTGTCTGAGCGAATGCTGCGGTCCCACCGATTTCAAAGTAAACACAGAGCAGACGCGAGCAGGGCAGCTGGCGGGTGACAGGTGACAGGGGACACGGAGGAAGATGGGCCCGTCTGGGTTCTCGGCAGAACTCTCAGATCACAGGGCCAGGTGTCACCCCGTCGAGCACCAACGCATATAGGCCGTCCCCTCGTTTAGGTTCCTCTGGGTTGCACAACCAGAGCAGGTGGCAAAGGACATGTGACTCGCATGCCGTTTGTGCGTTCTCGGGTGACTACGGTTTGATTGCAGCCCGGTTCTGCGCCCTTGCCTTCTCTTTGTCGCGGGGTGCAGGGCACAGCCCAAAGGGCTTCCTAACCAGCCAGAGCCCAGATCCTGCAGAAAGCAAGGAGCCCTGGCTTCCTGCCTGCAACACGGTGGCTGTTTTCTGTGTCTGAGTGGCACCCGCCCCGCACCCCCGACACACACACACAGATTCCACCCGGCACTGGAGCCTGAAGTGCAGCTGCAATACCAGCCTCCGCGGGTGAAGGCAGGAAGCTGCTCTACCTGGATGCATTCATCAATGTCAGCCACGCTGTGCAAAAAATAAAGCAAACCCTTCGGACCTGGGCCTGCCAGGAAATGGACTTTGCAAGGAGCACATTGTGTGGGGTTTAAACACTTGTACCGGGGGGGAGGGTGGCACAAAGGCCAACAGTGTTCAAACGTTGGAGAGATTTGCTTAATAGATTGGTGTGGAGGGGGGGAGAGAGAGACAGAGAGACAGAGGGGGAAAGAGAAAGGGTGAGAAAGGGAGAGAGAGACAGAGAAACAGAAAGAGAGATAGATATGTAGATAAATACAGGATGGGTGGATAGATGATAGATACGTAAGTGTAGACAGATGAGTGGAAAAGATAAGCACGTTTGCCACAAATGTTTCCTCATCAACTGTCTCATTTCACTGCACAATTTATCATCTTATCTAAGAAAGACCTGGCCTGGCCTGGCCGGGTTGACTCAATAGTTGAGCATCGACCTAAGATCCAGGTTCGATTCCCGGTCAGGGCACATGCCCGGGTTGTGGGCTCCGTCTCCAGTAGGGGGCGTGCAGAATGGAAGGAAAACTGAGGGCAGTGGCTCGGGAGTGGGGGGCAACGGAAAATCCCCTAAACAGATCCAGTCCCCTGTATTTTCCGTGTGAAATAGATCACCTGCCCCACAGAGGCACAATGGCTTGGTGGGGACCAGCCTGGACTGCAGGGCTATCAAGATCGGGGTTCAAGTCCCAAGTCTGTCCATGGAGAACTGGGGGGCTTTACACAGGAGCCTCCTGCTGTGAGCCCAGTTTCCACCTTGAACAAATTATCACAAGTTGGGGGCTTTAAACAATGGATATTTATTCCCTCATAGTCCTGAGGGCCACATGTCCAAAATCAAGGTGTCGGTAGGGCTGGTTGCTTCGAGGGGAAGGTTTAATGGATAAGTGAGACCTTTCCTTAAGATGATAAATTGTGGGTTAAAATGAGACCATCAAGGGAGAAGCATTTGGGGCAAATGTGGTTAACTTTTCCATCCATCTACTCATGTATCCATCTGTCATCTATCTATCATCTATCCATCTACCTATCATCTGTCTATCTATCATCATCTATCACTTTTACCTATCAATCTAGTCTTATCCTTTCTCTAGACTTTCCCATTTCTGCCTCTGTCTCCATGTGGCTTCTCCTCTGTGTCTGTGTCTCCCCTTCTGTCTCTCTCTTTAAAAACAACAACAAAAACATATTTTTACTGATGTCAGAGAGAGGAAGGGAAAGGGAGAGAGAGAGAAACATCAATGATGACAGAGAATCATGGATGGCCTGCCTCCTACATGCTCCCACTAGGGATTGAGCCTGAAACCTGGGCATGTGCCCTGACCGAGAATTGAACTGGTGACCTCCTGGTTCATGGGTCGATGCTCAACTAGTGAGCCATGCCGGCTGGGCCTCTTCTGTCTCTTACAAGGACCCTGTGATTGGATGTAGGGCCACTCTGACTCAGGATGACCTCATCTCAGATCCTCAACTTCATCCCATCTGCAAAGACCCTCTTTCCAAATAAGAACCCACTCTGATGTTCTGGGTGGACAAGAATTGGGGGGACATACTTTTAACACAAAATGTAGGAACTAATCACTCAAAAGACTATGTGAGGGCTTAAATGGCATTATCAGCACACTTTGTGTGGCCTGTCACAGGAGAAAGTCGTTAATACATTGATTGATTGCCATCACTTACATAAAAGTCAGGTTGGACGTAGGTGAGGCTGAACCCTCTGGGGTAGGAAGTCATGGGGTCAGGTGAAGCAAAAGGCCTTGCTGCACTCTCTGAGCAAGGACCAGGGTCATCCCTGTCCCCTTCAACTCTTCTCTCTTTGCAAATTGCCCCATGGAAACCATGC